CACCTCAGCGACCCGAGTGACTGCAGGCTTTGTCTTCCTCACTTCCCTGTGCCCCTCTGCTGCCAGGACCTCCGTTTCCCTCTCACACCCCAGGGCCAATAGGAAAAGGGTCCCCACTGGAGCTGGTTTTGCAGAAACCCAGGCGAAAGGTCATGTAAGGTCATGTGGGCATGCTCCTGCAAGGGGACACTCAGCTCTGGCTCCCGCCTGCCATGTGGTGAGGCAAGACTCTCCTTGGTCCACTGCTCTGCCCCTTGGAGTCCTTTTCCCTTGGGAACCTCGTGTCCCCAAGTCCTTTCCCTCCACTCTCCCCTGCAGGGTAGGGGTGAACTGACCGGTCATCTGACTAGGGTGGGCGATATCCAACAGTAGAAAAGTTAGAGGTAACCCATCTGACAGGGTTGCCCTGGGCCCAGAAGCAACAGCCTCCGGCCCCAGCCCCTCTCCCCGCGTCCCCATCCAGCCTGTTCCCTGGGGAGGGCCAGGGAGCCAGGGTCTTGTGCAAACACAGGCTCTGAGAATCCTTTATTTTTTTTAAACAAGCTCTGCCAGTTTTATTAAAGAACAATTTTGCACGATTTACTTTTCACCTGTCTGCTCTGGCAGGCTGCTAACCATACCGGAATCACCTGTATTGCCTGCCAGTCTGCCTACTCCAGTATCTTCCACACGCGGGGCCCAGCTCAGTGTCACTGCCACCGCGGCGATGGGCCCAGCCTTGGCCGCACGGGCTAGTTGCTCTATATCCAGATCACCTCGGCTGGGCAGTTGGCGAGGGTGACCAGGTTCCACTGGCCTCGTGTGGTCGCTTCCAGAGGCTGCTGTACTTCCCACTTTTCATAGCAGAGGTTGGAGCCTGGAATTGGTCCACTCCACCGACTTCCCTCTTCTTTGCGGCCACTGTCGCTCTGCCTTCCGTGTGGGGCGTCCCCCGACCAAGAGCAGCTGCCAAGATTTCTGAGGATCCTTTGATCTTGACCTTTTTTAAAAACATAGAACCTCTTAACATTTTTTCTCCTTCTAACCTTCATTTCCAGAGATGCAAAGATCCAGTAGGGGAAGAAGGAGGGTGAACATACTTGTTAAAGAGCAAACAAAAAGCCTTTGAAGGGGAAAAAAAATGGTTTCATGGGTTGCCATCTCCCTTCTTTCTGTAAAATGGGCGCAGCCAGCACTGCTGTGAGGGTGAAGGTGTGAGGAAGCTTTCTCAGCTGAGGACTTGTTGAGGGGTAGAAGGAGAAGCCACCGGGTGGAGATAAAAATGTCCTTTTGTACCCCTTCTAAAAAGCACTCATTGGGCCTTTTGCCAATGACCCACTGAGCCGTCAAAAAAGGGCAAAGTAAAAACACTGCTTTTGGGTGAAGTGGCAGCATGTTGTGTTGTTTTGCTTCAATCAGTGGTGTAACAAAGTAAAAAAAAAAAAAATCTATCATAATAAAAGCGTAATATGCAAATTGACTGAACTACAGAACAGCAGGACGGTCCGACGACCTTCCGGACAACCACGCTATGACACGCACTGGCGCCAGGCCAGCCAAGGCGGATGCGATTCAGTTGGTCGGGGGTCCCGCCATCACCCCATGATTGCCCCACAGAGGGAGGCCCAGGCCAGCCAAGCGATCACACCCCACGCCTGTTGCCCGCAGAGGGAGGCGACTGGTGATGGGGCATGGGGGGGCAGCACCGCACAGATGGCAAGCAGTGGCAGCAGCGGGGGTGAGGGGCGGGAGGGGGGAGGAAAGCCCGGATAGGCCCTGATCACCAGCCAGGCCTAGGGACCCTGCTAGAGGGGTCCTGGATTGTGAGAGGGGGCAGGCTGGGCTAAGGGACACCCCTCCCTCCCCCATGCACGAATTTTGTACACCTGGTCTCTCATATATATATCTCACTTTGTTACGAATAAAAGCCAGGTTGGGCACCTTGGTGAAGGTCAGTGGGCAATGGGCTGACCTCTGCATCTGAGAGATGTGTCACCCATCACAGGCACAGCCTCGGTCAGGTTGATGGCATGAGCCTCGGGATTTGTGCCTCCTCGGGCAGGTAGACTCAGAAATGAGAGGAATCAGACAAAGGGCTGAGCCAGGCCAGGGAGACGCTTCTCTCTCGGGAGAAGGGAGTTTGGGTAGAGAGGGCAGGTGTGTCTCTGCTGCAGGTCCCAGCCCTGGGATGGGAAGCCAGGGGCGGTGGCGCGGGACAAGCTCATGGAGCAGAGAGTGAGCACAGTGTGCCCTCCAGGCCTCCTGCTGGGACAGGAGTGAGCGTCCCAGGCCTGGGCCCGCTGACGTCCCCTCTCTCCTTTGCTCTTCAGCACTCCCAACGGGAACAGTCTCAGTGCCGCGGAGCTCACCTGTGGGATGATCATGTGTCTGGCCAGGTAAGTCGCTGACTTTCTCTCAACAGAGCCAGGCCCCCTGGCATGTCAGTTAGTAGGATTCTGCAAGCAAAGGACCCGCAGAAACTTAGTGAGTACACTGCGGCCTGGCGGCGCGCGGGCTGCTAGGAACGTTCAGTACCCTGGCTCTGGCGGGCCAAGGTCAGGTTCCCGGTGCTGGCCAGTGGGGAGGGGCAGTGACCAGGTTGCTGCTTGTCACCTAGGAGCAGGGTCCTGGGGAGAGTGATTGTGTGTGACCTTTCATGTCTCCTTCCTCACCTCCCACTCTCCCCATCCATTGTCTGTGCCCCTCCTGGCGGTCGGTTTTCACACACTAATCAGTGATGGCGAACCTATGACACGCATGTCAGAGGTGACACGCGAACTCATTTTTTTGGTTGATTTTTCTTTGTTAAATGGCATTTAAATATATAAAATAAATATCAAAAATAGAAGTCTTTGTTTTACTATAGTTGCAAATATCAAAAAATTTCTATATGTGACACGGCACCAGAGTTAAGTTAGGGTTTTTCAAAATGCTGACACGCCGAGCTCAAAAGGTTCGCCATCACTGCACTAACTTCTAACCTCCACGCTTTGCAAACGCTCTTCCTGCTGCCGGAGCACCCTTCCCCATCCGCTTCGTCTACGTAACTCTTCTTGTTCTTCAAGATTAAGCTCCAGTGTTAATGCATCCAAGAAGCCGTCTCCGGCTTCGGTGACAGGGCTGACCTCTCTGTCACTGTCCTCACAGGTCTGTGTTGTAATAAAATAAGACAAAAAGCTGCCCTGAGATCCCCGTGCTTACCCCTGGGTTCATAACACAAGGGAACTCAAATGCTCAAATCTCTTGCTCTTTTAACCCAGAATTCTGGGCGTGGGGCCCCTGGAGTCGAGGGGCAGCCTAGGAACAGTGGATATGACACATGATGCCTGTGAGCCTGACTGTGCTGGTGGTGAAATGATAGCGCTGGGCAGGCAACCCCGGCATTTCTGTGGTCGGGGAAGGGCATGGAGCCAGGGACAGGGCAGGAAGCGGCTCGAGGCCCCTTGGCAGAGCCTGGGATCCTTTTTTTCCTTCTTCCTTGATCTCTCAGTCACTTTCCTCTTCATGTCCCTGGTCCTGAGTCCACAGGGGAGGGTCAGAAGGGTCCGCTGGCATTGCATCACTGAGACCTGGGACCCTTACGCCAGCAGCCAGACAGCAGGACTCCTTGCTTCTCTACGAGGACTCCGGGCCCGACAAGTCACTCTTTCCCTCCCTCAAGAGCCGTTCTCCCTCCTGCTGGGGAGGACCTCCGGGGGCTCAGCGTTGCTCTAACTCTTCTCCGAGATCTCTCCCTGAGACCCCAGGGACTCACTGACAGTCACTGACCAGTGAAGAGGAGAGGAGGTTGGAGAGAGGAACAGGCACCACTTCCCCAGCAGCAGGAGCCCAGCCCAGAAGGGGCCGCTGAGCTGGCGGTCTGGGTCTCCCAGGCCGTCCGGGCTGCACGTCCAGCTTTATTTAAAAGAGTCGGTACAGTGGGATGGTTTAAAGGTTGCACCCACCACCTCATCCCAGTCCCTCATCCACAACCTGAGAAATAAGTACCCGTCAAGAAGGCATTCCCGTCTCCTAGCCTGTGTGTTTAATCACTGCCTTCCTGGCAGGGCAGCACTGGGCGGCAGTGGGCGCTGTGGACGGGACAGTTGAGAGCATCGGGCCCTGTGGGTGCGGAGCCCTGAATGGGCCTCACAGTGGGGGGCGTTGAACAGATGACGGGAGAAGAACAGTGACATGGAGACTGTGACCAATGCAGATTTCCCCTTCTTGCCCGCTTTACCTTCTCTTGTGAGTCAGACCCCTCTTGAGCCCCCTCATCCACATCTTGGTCCCCCGAGACCGGCCTGGTGAGGACGGAACCTGGGAGGCTCTGACCAGCTGGGTACAGCAGCGAGAGGGAGGGTCTGGGGATTTCTTGTGCCCGTGGTGCCATCCCGTACATCTTAGCACCTACATCTCAGCGCCGTGGAGTGGGGTGGGCAGAGATCAGGAGGCGAGGGAGCTGAGAGGAGGCGGGGAGGGGAGTGAGGGTTGGGGGCTCCGTCTCACCAAGTGAGGCATTTTTAGGCTGAGACCGAGAGCACTTTCCCTTATTGCTTTCCTGAACCAGGCGCGATGGTGTGATGGGCCGGAGCAGGGAGATGGAGCTTTTCCCCTGAAGCGAGTTCCTTAAGCTTGGCTGAGTTTACCCACAAGTCCACGGGGCTCCCAGTGGAGAACAGCCTTACCAGCAGGTGGAAGTCCATAATGGGCAGACAGGAAAGAACTTTTTTAAATAAGAAGTCAGTGAAGTAGAAACACAGGAACAATATTTTGGAATCTCTTTTTGTGCACCCACCCACCCACTGACCATTGAACGTCTCCTGACCAGCAGGAAAGCCTGCATTTCACACTTAGGAGGCTGCCTGGTGGGAGGCCTTCCTGGGATTTGAATCCGTTCAGCTGCTCCTAGGTGGGCAGAGCTGGGTGGGGTGTTTAACCCCCAGAGCCCCACACTGTGCACTCGTGAGCATTCAGTGAGCTAATGGGTGTCTAAACATTTCCTATAAGAGTGTCTAAAACAGAAGATACGCCTTAAACATTCTAACATTGTTTCTTGTCTCTTACTTTTTTGCTTCCAGAGAAGCCTGGATGGCCTTGTCCCACAGGACATATCTGCCCCGTGACCTCTAACTTTGCCCTAACTTCCTTTGTCTCCTCCAGAAAACACAAGGAGACTAGACTTCCATGTTGGCCAATAGGAGCAGAGGCTGTGTGGGGTGTGGTGTGCGTGCGTGCCTGAGGTGGTGGGACAGGAGGTGGAGAAGTTAGACGTGTGTGGACGGTGGCACCCACCCACCCAAATCTAGCCTGAGACCCTTGGGGCTTAAACTCCCAAGGACGAAAAAATAATCAGCTGTCCCCTGATATAGTGGAAGATGTTGTAGGTTGTGGCCCTGGGTGGAATAGGAAAATGAAAATTCTTGAATTTCTGGAGCTTTTAATGCCATCGGAGCCTCTCCACACGGCATTTCTTATTCCTGCAAACCCTGGAGGACTGACTTGCGTTTTAGTGCCCCGTCACTCTGATAGCCCCGGGGGCTGACACGGAATCAGAACCTCTTCCCAGACTCCTCGCTGGAGACAGAAGTTAGGACTCCAAGTCAAGCCCCCTTTTTAAATGAGTTTATTCCCTTCCTTATTGTTTTGTTTTTTTGTTGTTTGTTTTGTTCATCCTCATCTGAGGATATTTTTCCGTTGATTTTTAGAGAGAGTAGAAGAGAGGGAGAGAGACAGAGAGAAACATTGATGTGAAAGAGACACATCGACTGGTTGCCTCCCGATTGTTTCCCCCACCAGGGCCGGGGATCAAGCCTGCAACCCAGGTACATGCCCTTGGCTGGAATCAAACCTGGGACCCTTCAGTCTGAGGGCCAACACTCTATCCACTGAGCCAAACTGGCCAGGTCCCAAGTCAAGTCTTGCCAAGGGTTCCCCTCTGCTGCACAGCCTCGACCCTCCTGTTTCTGAGCCTGAGCCCCCAGACCCAGGCCGAGCTCGGTTCACACCAGGTGGAGGTGGCGTGCAGGCATCCTCACGCGCCTCCTTGAGCTGGCGGGGGTCTGTGTGGGCCGCTCACCCTGTGTCTGTCCTTGCAGGCAGATTCCCCAGGCGACGGCTTCGATGAAGAATGGCAAATGGGACCGAAAGAAGGTGAGCAGCCGGCCTTGCCTCCCCTCACCTGGCTCAGTGCCTGGAGCTCACTCCTGGTGCTGACTTCGGCTTCTTTGCCCGTTTGGTTGCAGTTCATGGGCACCGAGTTGAACGGCAAGACCCTGGGAATTCTTGGCCTGGGGAGGATCGGGAGAGAGGTGGCCGTCCGGATGCAGTCCTTCGGGATGAAGGTAAGGGGTTGGCAGGCTTCCTGTAGGAAGTTTGGAAGAGGCAGCTTTGTGTGCGAGAAGCTGAAGGCTCTGTCCTAAGAGGGTCTGATACCCCCCACCCCTCCCTTTTAGAGCCCCTGGCTTAACCAGGCGGTACAGCCAGCAAGGGAGGGAGCATTACCTGCTGGTGTGCACTCTCGAACTCAGAACCTGGGGCTGCTCGGTGGAGGTCCTTCAGCCCTGGGGTGGGTAATAGTCCTGAGTCCCAGCGGAGAGGGGTCCCGTTTCCTGCCGACCGGCCCTCCCCTGCTGTGAGGCCTCGTTTGCTGTGTCTGTCGCCTGTGCTGATTCAGGAAACATGAGCAAATTTACACCCTTACGACAGAGCAGTTGTCCATCCATCTTCTAGCTCCTCTCCAGGATTCAGCAGAAACTGAACAGTGCTTGTCTGAAAGCTGATAGGATCCTAGAGCTGATGGTGGCTGGAGACCCCACACATTTCTCAGAAATCCTGCCTGCCCCCTGCCTGCCCCCAGGGCCCTGCCTTATCTTATTCTGGGAGGCTTCCGGTTGAGGGCGGGTTATCATCAAAAGCAGAACCACACCTGGGGACGTTGCATAGGGGGAGGCCACTTAGACCAGAGAGGGCCCCCAGATAGGCCAGAGTGACAGGCACCTGGGAGGGCTGGGGGCTGGGAGGGGGTGGGGCACCCCTTTCCCCCAGGGAGGCTTCAGTTAAACA